ATTTATGAATTTATGTTTTATTTATTTTACTTATTTTAGTGCCAGTACACCGACACAAATGAATGACTTTGACAATAAATAAACATTATTTATATAAAATATAATAAAACTAAAAATCAGTTGTAGAACCAGATGTGAAACCACTGGCTGTAATGGAACATAACACTTTGGAAGGTGTTATTTATTTTTATGACCACTAGATGGCCACAGCATAAACCGTTTTTAAAAGCTTCGAGTAATGAACCTTTTCCCGATACAATTGTGATGAAAGCTTCACTGGATCAGAACGCTTCACTTCACCATCACTAGTTTTCAGGCTGTATACCATCAGCTTTTCTCTGCATCCATGTTATGGAGCTTTTCCACTGCGTGGTACGATTCCTGCAGTGAATGAGGATGATCATATCTGACCTTCATCGGATTCAGGAGAACTGAGAGAAACACATTATTATTGACTTACAGCAGATGAATCTTCATTCACAGAGTCTGAGTTTAAAACATCATCCATCTGTTTCACAAATGATCATGTGATTCACTCAAACTCACTTCAAGGCTTTCTTTCTCTCAGTTTGTTTCACTCACCCGTGTTCTGAATCCTCACTCTGACAGACAGATGGCTTTGCCTTTGGAAACAGATTATGACATATTTCAGTCTTAGATGGTTGAAATCCTGCAATATGATGAGCTGAAATGATAAATGATTAATATCATTAATGTAAATTATATTACTGAGTTCAGTCTCACATGAAGATCATTTTACGCAGAAAGAAATAGCCCTACTATCAAAACACTCCAACGCAGCCTCTTCCAAAATGATGGATAAAAGGCGCAAAGAAAACAAAAACCTTGAAAAAAAAAATGATACGACCTGGCCAAATCACATACTTGCCGATTTGCAAGGGACTAATATTATCACAGGACCTCGGGTGGTTATCAGTGTATTACAAAGGTACAAAACAGATTTCAGTACTTCAATAGGTTGGTATATTAACATAATTTCAGTTAATGAAATTATGGTATTTAACTGTAAATTTAAGTTAAAACCGTAAAATCTAAAACGCTGCCATCATATTTTTTACAGTAAAATTCCGGCAACCACAGCTGCCGTTTTTTTACCGTAAATTTTACGGAATTATTTTTACAGTGCAGGTAATACTAATCCCGAGCGAATAGGGCTTTAGAGATTATTTTTATATGCACTAAATCCTGCTTCCATTAATGTGTAACATATTATACCGAATTTACACACATGCACATTAAGATGTTGAATGTAAACTCACAGAGAGAAGAACTGCTGTAAATTTTGCTATATAAATGCATTATTCATTCATTCATTAATTCATGTTTGACTCCATATGGAGAAAGACACTCCTCTCAGTTGAAATTACCTGTTCATTCATATATGAAAACTAGCAGTTTACTGTTACACACAGACAGAAAGAACGAGACTGCAGCAAACATGTTCAGACTTTATCATAAGCTGCAGCTAAACACATGAAACACTCACATACGAGAGTTGGATCATTTGTACTTCATTCAACTTTATTCAGTCTGATACTTCTGTCACAACGGTAACAACAAATCATGAATTAAGAGTCATGTAGAAGAATAAAGTGTGTGTCTGTACTAGTGTTTTCCACTAGAGGACAGTAAAACCCCTTCAAATACTGATGATGGATGAAAACACATAATACACTCGACAAAACATTCTGCACATGACAAAACACATTAACTCAAACACATATACAAAAGAGATACAGAATCACATATACATTTATAGCGAGCACTAAAAAATATTGATAAGTAGATGAAAGTAGATGTGCAATGAGCAATACTTATTCATTACAGTTTGTCAGCATGAGACCTTATTGTAAAGTGTTACTGTGCTGCGTCTGCTTTTCTTCACTAGTGTTTCCAGATATGATATTCATGTCAGATTCACACTCACTCTTGATACAGATTTAATCAAACACAGACATAATGGAGTAAAAAAAGGTATTTATGAAAGTATCATGTGAATAAACAGCAATGACAGTGAGTGGTATCTTGGTTTCAAGATATCAACAAGTAAAATGATCATTAATCAGAAAAAAGAAAAAGTTTAGTTGAAGGAGCTTGTCGGTAATCTTGTGTATGTGATCATTATTGAGGTTTCTCACTGAATCCCACACAACCTCTCTTTTGCTAGCTTCCCTGTGGCTCTGATTGCAAGTCGAACTGCCTCTCTACGACTGATTCCTATGCTCTCAGCCTCCTTTATGGCGCTCTCTTTCTCCTCAGAAGTCACCACTACCTTCCCCATGAGTTTGGCTACAGCTGCTATGTTCACCTCACCTAACATAAAATGCAGCGCTTCCTGTCGAGACTCCTCTGCTAAACTCCAATATATTGTCTGCCATTCTGTTAGAATGCCCTGTTTCTGTTTTAACTGCTCCAATTTCTCACGCAGTTTCTGTTTCTGAATCTCCCGAATGCATTTCTCTGTTCCTTCAAACAGGTCATTTGTAAAGTGGCCTCCATTTTCACTAACCATCATCTCTATTTTACTCAGCAGATCTGTGAACTGTGGGAAACTGGCAGATTCATTGTCTAAACAGAAGAATCGGTTTCCACAGCTCTGTACCAGCTTTTTAAGATCTGGATCACTTTCCTGTAGAAACTTATCAATGGTTTGATTTTTCTTATCTAATTGATCTTTGTGGGTGAAGAGGACCATTGCATATTTTTCTATTTTTTCTCCAAACACTTCTTTAAGCTCCTTTATTGTGTTTTTCTCCTCCTCAGTGAATCGACCCACTTTAATCACAATAATAAAAGCGTGAGGTCCTGGAGAGGCGTACGTTATGCATTTCACTAATTCGGTAATAACCTCCTCTTTACTCAGTACATTATCATAAAGTCCAGGTGTGTCGATCACTGAGATCTTTTTGCCCATCCTCTCATTGGTTTCTGACTGACACTGTTTTGTTTGAGAGTTTGAGCTGATGGTGGATTCAAACACTCTTTTACCGATGATGGTGTTTCCTGCAGCACTTTTTCCAGCTCCAGTTTTTCCCAGCAGAACCAGCCTGATTATGTTTTTCCTCTCAGGAATCTGAATGTCATCTGGATCTTCATCCATTGAACTTTCTCCTGAAACTACATCACAACAGTGTGATATTAACTGCTCTTCTCCTTTAAGATCAGTTTTACATTTAAGGCACTTGCAGATGCTCTTAACTACAGCACAACAAATATCAGTGCTTTAACTTTAATGAACAGGTGAGCGCATTATGTATTACTGCAGTAATTTACAACAATGAAACAACTTACAATTTATTACAATGTCCTTGCTGCCACTCCTCTTCATTTGTTCCATGATAAATTTCCCATCGTTTTCCTCCATCATTCCTTCAATCTTCTGCAGTAGTTCTTGTACCTGATCATCTGATTTACTCCTGTTATTGAAACAGTGAAACTTTCCTCCACATTCAGTCACCAGTCGCTGGATATCCTCATGGTTTTGTAGATGTTCATCAATGGTCTGTGGTTCATCCAGTGCATCCAGTTCATCTCCACGTGTGAACAGGATCATGATGTATTTCTGAACTTCAGGACCACATAAACACTTAATAAAATCCAGGATCTCTTCCTCATTTTCCAGTGGTTTCTCTAGAGGAACGGTAAGCAGAACTGCACTGAGACCGGTTGAACACTGAAAGACCAGCTGCTCTTTCAACATCTCCAGCTGCTCTTTACTCAGATCTGGATCCAGTAGATCTGGACAATCAATGACAGCAACCTGCTTCTCTCCAATCTTTGCTACTGCGTCACAAACTTCAGCTTCCTGCTTTTTAAGTTTAAACTTTCTTTCTCTCAGTAGCGTGTTTCCAGACGAGCTTTTCCCAGAACCCTTTCTGCCCATCAGAAGAATCCGGATCGCTGGATCATCTGGACTGGAGCTGATCGCTGACATCTCTGAAAGAATCAGATAATATGGAATAAGACTGTGTAGAACAGAAAAAATACTAATTCTACACAGTGGTCTCCAAAAGTCTGAAAACTTGTTTCTAAAATAAAAAGTTGCGTTTAATTGAACGGGAACAGTTTTGTTACTATTGATGACAATTTTTACTGTTTGAAATAGCAATTTAAACTCGTTTCTAGGTGCAACATTGCAGAAATGGAATCCAAAACTCGTCATTATCGACCACAGTAGTTTATTTTGGCTAAATCTGCAGTGCACTATCCAAATAATATCGCATGTCATTCTTCATGATTTGTGAAGTCTTTCACAGTACATTTTTGGTCAGTTAACCCTTCCCTGAGGCCGTAGCTTCACTGTTGTGAGTAGTGAAGTTAAGCATCAACTGGCCAAAACTGCACTTTGAAAGATTTCAATAATCAAAATAGTGATGAACTTAGGAAAGGATTAACGGATTAAAATCTGTACTGTGAACTATTTCACAGTAGTCTATTTGACCCGACTAAATGAACATTTTTAAACTTATAAGCTTACAAACTATCTATACTGCAGTTGTTTACTGCTCGTTGTCACCTCGCTTAAAAGTGTTGTCTTGATTATTATCAGTAAAATACTACTGATAGTTCCTTGTCTGGTCAGAGATTATTGTATCCACCTTTTTTTCCTGAGTAACTGATGGATGATGGATTCTAACTTCCATTTGGGTGCTGTCGTGTTTATAGAAATCCATGTTAAAATGTGGTGAAAAGATAGACTGACTAAATTAAACTGAAACTCAATGTAACTAATGTAGGCTAACTAATCATCGACTGAGCCTAATCCATTCAGAATTTGTATAAAACGGTTCTCCTTCACATACACACTGTAGTGATTGACAGTGTAACCAAAGCAATGGACAGGGCAAAAATGTATGTGAAAATAGATGTGCATTAAGGTTAGAGCACCCTCACTAATTTCAGTCAATAATTCCCCTGCTGCTATAATTCCCTTCCTACATTATAAAATCAGCTATATTTTTACATGTATAAAGACCCACGTATACTATTTGATAAAAAATTAGGCATCATATTGTAAGTATAAATATACATAATTTTTTAACTAAATAATTGGCTTTTATAAGTACATTTAAAATATATATATATAGGCTATATGGAATGGCCTGCCCAACTCAATCCGAGCAGCTTGAGTCATTAGCCATCTTCAAGAATCGGCTAAAAACACATCTCTTCCATCTTTATTTGACCCTCGAACTCTAGCACTCTCTATTCTAATTCTATTCTTTAAAAAATGCCCCTTTTAGACTTGCACTCTATTCATTTACTAACTGCTTGTTTTCTTAAAAAAAAAACACTAGCTTCTCTATTCTTTTTGTATTCTATCTGTTTCTTTTCCTTTTATTTATTATACAATTAACAAAAGCAAAAAAGGCCTCTAACACTAGCTTGCTCTATTCTTTTTGTAGTCTATCTGTTTTCTTATTATATAATAAAAATAAAAAAAACCTTGCTACGTGTACAGCGTTAGGCTAACTGAGACTTGTTATAGCACTTGCTTATTATTGCTCTTTTGTTGATTTTGATTGCTTCCATTGTCCTCATTTGTAAGTCGCTTTGGATAAAAATGTCCGCTAAATGACTAAATGTAATATATATATATATATATATATACATATATATATATTAGGCCAATCTGCGGAAGACTTTCATTTTTTTTTTCTACCCACTTGCATAAAATGACATTAACAAACATTAAATTCAGATTTACCGGTAAAGCACTTTTCACAATGACTATAATTTCAAAGCAACATGGTGAAATTATAGTCATATGGAACTGTAATGTGGTCAACAGACCTGGCACTACCTCAGTACAGTACAGTGTATTTAGTTGCATCCCAGCTGCTCCCCCCTCCCCCACCAAACCAACAAACAAAACATTAAAAACTTTTCTCTTTTTTTTGGTGGGGTGTGGGAAGTACAACTGGGTAATAGAAAACCACTTTTTTTCTAGGACTACACCACTGCTTGATCTATAAAGACTGAAGGCGAAAACCAGCATGGGTTGCAAAGCTATAATAATAATAATAATAATAATGTAATACATTAAATGTAATATTAAAATAATGTGTGCTCTTATCATTTTGTGGACAAAATCCCCCCGAACTTCGCCCCGATCGGGAGCTTTATGTAGGATGTGCGCATGTGTTTTCAATGCAACTCCAGCCGCTTCAGGTCATCGACCCCCTCATTAATCTATGACAGGTGAGTTAGCCTACTGCAGAAAGACGGTCACTGTGACACTGTAAAGCGACGAAACTATAGCGCCATGTGCTTTTAAAACCATTTCATATGTTTAACGTTATAATATTGACTCGGAAAATATGTCCATTTGACTAGAAACCGAGACCATAAATAAAGCATCGTTACAGTATGAGTCTTCCGCGTTTAGGAAAAAGGTGCAAAGGTGAATTTCTCCAGATAATAAATGAATTTCCAGAACTAAAGGTCAGATTCGCTGTCACTGTCAAACGGGTTTGCAAAAATACCTGAAATTGTGGTTATGTCTTCAGGCAAAGCAGCATTAGAAAGGAAAGATTTTTTACATTTTACATTAAAATAGATTTGCGATTCAGTTTGATTTCATTCACTGAAACGGGAAAGGCTACTTTATAATTGCGTGGGGTTAATATGCCTTCAATCCACCTTAAGGCTGTAACAAAATTGTTATCGTGTGCAGCTTTATCCAGACGTTAACTGCAATTCAAATAACTGCCAAATCAAAACTGTAAGTCTTGACTTTGACTGTAAGTCAAATATTCACAGCCATCTAAAGTTTACTAAACTTTCCCCGATGCAGACACTCTTACCAGGCCCCGTCGCCATCTTCACAGTATTTGACTGATCACAAGTCCATGAAAATGTTTCCTAGAAAACAAATGCAATTCACATAAGGAAAACAATCCTAATATATGTATTTGCAGTGGTTTAAAAATTCGCAGGAATATAAACTCACCAGGAGTCGAGCTGCTGCTCAGATGTTCACCTTTAGTTTCACTTTTGTTTTGCCCCGCCCTGTTGCAGGTGCATCATTTTCATGAAATGAACACATTAGCTAAAAACACTGAATACAAACCACGTGAATACACGATAAAATAATACACCAGGTATGCAGAAAAACACAGAGTTTGTTGAATAAACTTTATTCATTCTGTCGATAATAATCTCCCACATATGCTGTAAAGATTTCAATAACAGTCACATGAACAGATTGATAAAGTCTCTATGAAAGCGTCTCAGACTGAAGCTGTTTCAGATGATCGTCTTACTTCAGCAGCTGGAGAAACCGAAGCGAATCAGAAACGCATTCATTTTATTAGTTTGATATTAGTTTGATTCAGATTCATCATTAAAGAGTTTCTCTCAAGGCTGTACAGCTCTGATCTCAGTTCATCTGTCTCTCCTTCACGCACAATTTTTTTGTTTTATGAATAATATTTTCTAAAGAAAGCAGAAAGACATTGATTACCCACAATTCTCTTATTAGACTATAAAGTACCCCCAAATAAAACATTTATATTGAATCTAAACAACTGAATTTCATATGTGGGAACATCAATTTTTGATTTTATATTATCAAAACTTATCAAGTGTGTTAAATATCGAAATATCAGTGTTCAAAATACCTTCATCTAAGACACAGACCCACTTTGACCACACCCACTACTTTGAACTCTCCCATTAATCTGACTCCACTCACTCTACAGTAAATGCTATAGTGACCTCGCCCCATAGACTCCTCCCACCACCCTGACTCCTCCCCTTAACCCAATAGCACTAAACACACACTCACATCACCAGCAGTGAATCTAATGAAGATCCTCCTAAATCAGACAGAATTAAAAACAGACTCAAGTGTTGCGAATCAGAGTCTCGTTCTGAAACCTGTAAACTCCGTCGACGCCCGTGGCAGATTCAGCAGGGCTCCCTGATTGAGTGTAAACGGCTGATCTTCAGTCAGATCTATAACTCGGTGCGAGAGCGAGAGATCCGCGGCCCTTTCCGGATCTCTTTCCTCTTCTCCTCCTTCCTCCTCCTCTTCTCTTCCTCGCGGAGAATCTTCTGGAAGGCCTCGGCCGTGTGCAGCACCTGAAACACAGACAAATATACATCAACAAACTATGCAAATCAAAGCAAAAGAAGTGTCAAAATAAACCTGTGGTTAATTGAGCAATATAATGACAAAATAAGTAGAAGTCTTTGCAAACTGAAATCACACACAAACGGAGTTTAACTTTCTGTGATTTCTGATCAACATCTGAAGCTCTACTGCCTCCTACTGGCTTTACCTACCAGTGTTTCCTCTAGGCTTACGGCTTTTTTTCAATTTAAATTTTTCTGGACTCCTTTTTAATGGTTAAATTACATTTTATTAATTAAAAAAACATGTATAATTAATTAAAATCATGAAACTTAAACAATTTAACATCAATTTATTAAAAGTTTAACAAAATTACATGTTTAGGGCCCTATGAAACGTATTATTTTTTCCAACCTTATGTTTTATTGTTACCAAATTCTGTTTTAGTATGTCTAATTATTTGAAATCATAAAAACAAGTTTAATTTATTCTTACAATAGTCTAATGATTTTTTCCCCTTCAGAAATTCTGTGTATTTAATTTTTTTTAAGGCATAAAACAGTCATTTAATTTATCTTTTAAGTAATGAAAATTAAACAAATTTTATTTTTGGAAAATAATGGGGATTTAATATTACAATTAAAACATTGAAGAAATATTGTATGATTATTCCTTAAAAATAAGGTTTTAATAATTTTAGTAGTAGTAGTAGCCTATTACGTACATTCTACTGAACAATAGTAATATATTTCTGCCACAATGTCTTCAAGTTAAACCAAACTTTTATTTTGACGGGTTGCCGTGAATACCGCTACATTTCTGTGTGTATATGATATGAGGATAGTTTTACTCCAATG